GAAGGCATTGTTTCATTGCCTGCCTTACAGTGTGGTTTGCCTTTGAAAAGTTCAAAATCCTTCTAACTCCTAATCCTTTATATGTGATCTGGTTTTTCCTCTTTGGAAGCTTGTAGACTCCTCTCTTTGTCCCTGATATCTTAAATTTCAAAGTAAAATGTCTTCATATTTTTCTATAGTTATTGTGTTGAGCACTTGTTGGATCATTTCAGTTTGGAGACTAGTGTTCTTGAGTTCTAGGAAATATTCTTGATTTTCTTTTGTTTTTTTTTTTTTTTTTTTCTGGTAATTACGCCTCTCTATTTTCTCTTGTTCTTAGAACTCCTATTATTTGGATGTTGGAGCTCCTGGACTAGTTGTCTGCTTTTCTTAGTTTTTCTCTCCTCCTTTTCATCTCTTATCTTTGCTCTAATTTTGTGGAGATTTTCTCAACTTTATCTTTGAAACTTTTAATTTAGCTCTCTAGTTTATTCTATCAAATTTCTATTTTTAAAGGGTTTTGTACCTTTTTTTTTCTCTGAATAATACTCCTTCAAATTCTTTATCTCTTTTAACATTATTGTATTTTCATTTCGTGGGTGGACCATTTTCTCTTAATACTTTGAGTATGTTAAAGATATTGTTAAAAGCCTTTTCCTCCTCGCAAGTTACATTTTAATCTATTTTTGTTTTGGTCCCTAGCTTCTGTATTACAGTGAGTTCTCAATTTTCTGATCGTTCTTGCCTTTCTACTCATTACTGAAAGTGAGAGACATAAAAGCTGACTGGAAGTTCTAATAAGCTCATGGGTAAAGCTTATTAACTTGATGCTTCAGTGTAGGGGAACTGGGGAAACCATTTTGGGGGAGAGACTATCATTGCTCACCTTAGACCTATGTGACAGGTGCCTCAGCTTTAGAGGAGCCTACCATGGCCATCTTCTGGCTTTGCCCTGCTTCATGGGATGATGTGGCTAAAGTGCTAAGGAAAACGGCTCACCGAGGGCTCGCTCTATCCTCTTTGAGACTATGTGTTGGATTCTTAGAATTCCTGCCCCAACAGCCCCAAGCCTGCTTCCAGGATATGCACAAGGGTCTTCTTCTGGTGTGGTCTGCCAGGAGCCATGCATAATGGGCATAAGACTAAGCCCCCGTGGGGCAGCTGTGTGCATGGGCTTGGAGGTATGATCTGGAACATCTGTATGGATATGCACAAGGCCTTCGGTGTTTTGGGTGGAGCCAGGAAATGGAAAGAGAAAGGGGTCTGGCTATGGGCCACAAACATTATGCTCTGTCTCAGCATTCCAGAGTACAAGAATTACGGATTTCAATGACTCACTCAGGTATCTACAAAGGAATATTTATCAAGGTAGGAAGATTGAACATATTTAATAGTTGGGTATTTCACATTAAACTGATAAATACATAAATATATGGATCCCAGTGAAGGAAGAAAACTGAGATCACTGCATTCTGCAGATGATCAGTTAATCCTCATTTTCTGTAAAGGAACTGCATCTACCAAGAGTAAGGGGTGGGAATCTAGTGATCTAGCATCCATTGCTCCTATTTTAGCTGCCTCCTCTATCCTCAGTTCCCAAGGCACCTAGTATGCCAGTTTGCAAGCCTTTGGAGGGATTTGCAGTATAAATCGTGTTGGTTCTCATCCATCTTCACCCTTGGTTTAGGATTGGACTGTGTAAGCATTCTGAGTCAGTTACCAATTTTCCATCTGCTTCATCTGTTACTATTTTCTCCTTACAGTTTCTCCTCATTTTTGTTGGTTTATGTCTTTTTAAAACTCACTCACTGTAGCTTAGTGGCATTTCTGTTGAGAGAGAAGTATGTGTGTTAAATCTGCCATCTTAATCTAGAAACCAGCTTATTCTTTTTGCTTAGTTGGAACTTGTAAATTCCATGTAATCCCTGCAATCAAAGTTTCATTATGTAGGTTGAGTATTGACTGATGCTTACTGGAGTCAAACAACATCTCTGAGACCAAAATAAAATCAATCGTTGAGATCAGGGATAGTGTCACTAAGGCTCAGGTCGAAAGCATTCTAACCACTCCTAATTAAAGTTGAGGAGATGCCAATGAAGGTTGACAATTGGTTATCAATAGTGTAAAAGAAAGCTGGTAATTTTCCACAGGTTTCGCCATGTAAAGCCCTAAATAGAAGTGGTGTCAGATTATGGTATTTTTGTACTACAGTTATTTTTCCTATTGCAGAAAAACTGAAAATCAATTTTAAGTACACAGGAATCTAACTTATGAAACTATGGCTAGTTAGTCCTTATATTAATAGTATTATGACATATTAAAAGATCGATATCCATTTTTTATCTAAAGATGCTCAAAAATAGTGAAATAAGTGAGGGAAAACATTAAAGCTTCAGTAATTCATTTTTAAATATAGTGTTGCTCGTTTTTAAATATAGTGTGGCATTGTATCTTTGCAAAATCTTATAAGATATCTATTCTAAACACTATAGTCTTCAAAGCAAGGCTCAGAGGCATGAGTAACTTCCAAGACCAAGCAGATAACTTTAGTAATTAAGACCAAAGCAGTGCTGACATTTGACTTTGGTAGGGAATGACTGTGAATTGAATCTTTTCTATTGCATATTGCTGCTTCCTTAGAATAAAGTTGATAGTTGTTGGTAATCATGCTATGAAATTGTAGTAGAGAATGCCTTTTTGTTTCTTTTTTTCCTTCAATTAATAGCTAAGTCTTGTTCAAGAAAAAACAGTTACTCTTACTCAGCTCCTTGAGGAATAGGCAAGATTGTTGATTTTATACCTATAGTAGAAAGGAATGATATATCTTTGCAAACTTTTTCCTAACTATTCCTTCTTGATTCCAGATCTAGAATATACAATCTCTAATTGTAGTTTAAAGTATCTGCCACTAAGCATATGGAATTTATACTTGGACCAGACTAACTCCAAGTATTGATAATAGAAGAAAATTGGAAGTGTTGGCAGGATTCCTGCATTTGTATAAGCTGTGTCTCCTAATTTAAGTAAATCAATAAATATTCATTTAAATCTATTTCTCTACATTTACACATTTGAAAATAAAATATAATTTAAGCAAGAGTCTAATGTGGACTCTCACGTTAATTATAGCAATATTCTATTTCTACAGCCTTTGACTTATTATCTAGGCCTAAATTCTAGTTTTTCCTCATTATTCTTCAAATATTAGAAATCCTTATTCTACTTTTACCTTGATAGAGCACCTTATTTGAATCTTTTTGGTAGTCTAACTGAGAATGATTGCTTCAAATCACTCTTTTACTTATTGAATTTCCCTTCCATTCCTTTCAAAGATACTTGATTACCATGCTTAGAACTTTTTTGATGGTTCTGTTTATCTTCAGAAATAAGGGAAAAATATTCTTTCAGATTATTATTCCCCCAAATATATGACAGTTCTTTGCCTACCCTGGAAAACTGACTTGCCCCTGAAAGACACACTTTCTCTTTCATATTTGAACCATTTCTAAGCTTATATTCTTCCCAGCATTTATTGAATATCTACTATTTCTCTGCCAAGCACTGGAGAAGTGAAGGTAAACAATCCATACTTGGTCACAGACTTCCTTAGCTTGACAAGGTGACAGAGGCATTAAAGCTTTGTTTATGTAGGACTTCAGAAGCCTAAAGGAATTGGGGAGGGGTGGTAGTGGTATTGACTAGGTATCCTTAGTGGAAACTAATCTAGGAAGTAATATCGAGAAATAAAGTCTATTTCTTTTTCTCTAGACCACCCTTGCTCCTGCTAAAAGGTTAAATGGGCTCCATATTCCTTCAGGGAACCTAAAGTCTACCCTTCAGCAAGAATTAGTCCTTCTCTCCTAATAGTTTTCAAATGACTAAGTTCATACATTTAATATAGCCTATGTTTTATTTATTTATTATTTACATTTATCATTTTTTGTTCATATGTATGCCTTTTCTACTACTTTGAGAGTTCCTTGAAATTTTTGTCATACATTTTAAATGACTTTGCATTTTTAGATGAAGTTATTGATGATTAGGTTTTAAGTGTAAGTTCAGTGAGTGAAGGATTTCAAAAAATTGTTAGTGAGCACTGCTGTCATATCATCTGCTTACTAGTTTCTAGTCAATTATTTCAAGATTTTGAAATGTTTTTGTTAAATCATGGATTTAATAGTGTAACTGTACTTTTTAAATAAGAAATATGCAAATACATCCTTTGAAGTTTTGGGAAGGAGACAATTTTTCAGTATTTTGAGAATCTCATGATTATAGGAGGATCTATCTACTAAAGCCACTGTGTGACATTTGCCATTGCACAAGTAGGATTTCTTACAAGGTGTATGACTGAGCTGCTGCTTATTATTTCCTGAGGTTCTGCTGTTAACACAACTTCGGACCATCTTTAAAATCAGTGGGATTTTTAAGCTGTACACCTTCTAGAAGTTTTTCTTTTCTTTCTCTTTTTTTAAATATTTCATGCCTTTAGTTCTGGTGTTGGCCACCAGGTAGCAACAGTGCCTTGAGTAGCTCAAGTCTCATAAATAGGAAACTGTTGCCAACCGACAAAAAAGATTAAGTCACACACCCTCAGGAGGGAAAGATAAGTAAGTGTGGAGAATCATGAATTTTTAATTCCTCCCTGGGCCTGTGTCCTCATGCTGTCTGTTGCAACTGCAGGCACAAATTACCCAGTGGCCATGAGCAGCCTCCTAGTCCTGCCAATCCATTGTTACTGTGATGTTACACTCAATCTCAGGGCCACCGAGACAAAATGAGATGAAGGGCAGGTGACAGGGGGCACATGGATCATGCAAGGAAGGCGTATGACAACTATAGACAAGAGGAGATTGAAATCATGAAGGAGGTGTAGGGAGAGGGTGCTTATTTCTTTTTATGGAAATATCCCCAAACCCATAATATTTATGAGATTGTTTTTTAACCGTAAGAATCACATTTATGCCAATCTAGAAAAATCAAATATGTTATTTTAGATTTTCTTCTTCCTTCACCCTCAGCCATACCTCTGGGTATTCTAGTTGTGCGTGGAGACTGTGATTTGGAGACTTGCCGTATGTACATAGACCGCCTACAGGAGGTGAGTTTATTTAGCCAATTTTTTATTCTCCTTAGCTTTCCATTTTTGTAAACGATTACCAGCCATATATATTTGCTTCTGAAATGATGCATTTGGGGAGGAAATGAATATGTGGCAGCCTTGTCCTTTAAGCATTCACTGCATGCCTCCCACCTGCAACCCCTCGGCTATTTTCTTCCTCTGGTGGTTGAAATGGGAAAGGATTGATTGGGTTAATTACAAGGTGCTGTTGCACTAGTGTGTCCCGTAACTATAGCTTGGAACTTCTTGCCAGACTACCTACCTGCATTTTTTGAGCTATACAGAATTTCAAAGGGCATTCATAAATAATGAATGGAAACAGAGATTATTTAATGTTTTGTATCTAGCCCAGACTTCTATCAGAAACAGCTAGATTTTTTATAAAATGAAACTTCTGTAGGAGAGAAAAATCTTCTATATTTCATAGGAATTTGTCAGAGCACAAAAAGGTAATCTATTATTTTTTTTTTTCTCTCAGTCTGGCCTTGCCATAGAGAAACAGAAAGGAAGTGATGTCATATATAATATTCCCATGAATTTGACTTGCATCAGCAAAGCCAAGAGACCCAGACTCATCATTACAATTGTTGTTGGTTGTTTTTGCAAAATTTTCAGGGGGAGTATTAATTATGTTCATTCCACAAAAGGCAAAAAGCATAACAGTTTCTTTCTCATTGTTTCTTGATAAAATAGACATGTTAGAGTCACTTTTCTTAGGTGAGACATAGACATTTGTATGTTTAAAGCTATTGTGTGATTCTGCTAGGTACGGATTGATAAGCAACTCTCTCCAAGATAGCACATTATATATAAGTAAATATCATAAAGCAGATGTATAGTGTTTAGAATCACTTCAAGTTGTAGCCATTTAGCTTTGAATATTAGACTCTATTTCTCTTGCTAGAGATAAATTCAGGTGAAAGGCATACAGTGATGTGAAAAATTACTAATTTTGAGAAATAGATGCCAAATTTTGAATACTAATATGGGTGAGAGAAGAAGAGTCTACACATTTTATACTTGTGACTTCCTTTAACTGTTTCAACCAAGGATAACTACTTAAATAAATTAGAATCTGTAAACTTTTAGCATGTGTCTCAGGTCCAAATCTGTATTTCCAGAACCTCTAGAATCTCATTTTTCAAAATATTTTTTTTTTTATTTTATGGTGGAATCTCACTTAACAAACCTGCAATAAAAATGGAAATCCTAATTGGTATCAAACCTTTTTTTTTTTTTTAAATACTCAGGTAACTTTGTTAACAAGACTTTACCATAGTCAGATACATGACTGATAAATTGACTTTGGTGAAGTACAACTTAACCAACTTCTTGGCGTACTCATCACCCCAATATTCAACTAAAAGTAGGATTCTTAAAAAAAGAGGAAAGAATGAACTCAACCAATAAAGAGGAAAAGTTTTAAAACTCACTTGGGCACAGAGAGTAAGTAGATGAAGCCCTGTGGGAAGCAGGTGTCAGGACAAAGGTGCTTGGAGGTGCTGACATCTGTAAATAGAATCACCGCACTCATTAGCAGGGAAGCCTGGGAGACATGACAACAGTGACAACTCAGTTATAAAAGTTTATAAAGGGAGTCAGGCTTTCAGAATCTGCCAGTAAAACCGTATTAATTTCAACCCTGTTAATTTGCCCTTCGTGATATTGCAGAACTGGTAGGTGATTTTCTCATTGCAGTCTGTGAAAATCTGTTTGCCAAGCAACTTATCAGGATAAACACAATTACCATAACAGTATGTATTTGATCTAAGATAAAGAAATTCTTTCCAAGTGTTTAAAGGGACTTCAGAAGCCGCCTTCACAAGCCAGAAGAGTTCAGAAGAAAATTAAACATGATCCTCATTTATTATAACAAAATTGCCTATTCTTTACTTTTGGTCTCCTCTATCCTTGAAATTATAATACATCATTCACCTCTAAACACTATTTAGGATTTACAAGTTTCAATAGCTAAATGACCTTCTTTCAGTTTAGCTTGCTGTGCTTTTATTATTTCTGGCATTACCTTCTTTGTTTAGCCTTGATGGATTTGGGTGAGTTAGATACTTTCCAGATGAGCATAATAATGTTAAATTAGGAGTTCAGTTGATGGAGTTGTGTGGGGCAGCTTGTTCAAACTAATTTTAAGGTACAGCTTTTTTTTTATTTTATTTTATTTTTTTTCCCATTTTTCTCATTAGGACCTGCAGTCAGTTTCTTCTGGCTCCCAGAGAGTTCATTACCAGGTAACACATAATTGACTCTCCTTGTTTCTTACCTTCCGGCCAAAAGAAGTCCATCTTTCAATTAATGTCTCATTTTGATTGAGAGTCCTCATCTTCTATAGGGATAGAGTTCATTCCAAGAACCTAGTAAGGTTGTTATTCATATTCTTTTGCATTTTCCTGATTTGCCTAGTCTAGCAGAAATATGGACTGTGGATTTTTTTCCCAGATCATTTAGAAAAGATTATGAAATGAAGTGCTTTCAGTGACAAATACTAGAACATTCGACTTGAGCTAGCTTAGCAAGGAAAGGGTCTATTGATTCCCATAAGCAAAAATTCCAGATCAAAGGTACATTTTGTGTACCATTTGGTCCTGGTTCATTGCTCTGTTTTTCTGCTGGTCCTTCTGCTTTGTTCTCCTCTTTCTGCCAGTTTCACCCTCGGACTGGATGTTTTCATGGTCCAAGATGGCTGCCATTAGTAACCGGGGGCTGTATATTTTTTCCTTCACATCCAGGGAAGAGAATTCCCTGCTTCCCACAATCATTAAGCAAGAGTTCTACAATGTAATATGATTGGTTCATCCTTGTCTTTTGGACAAGAGCTAGTAAACTCAGTTTGCCTCTCTCTCTTATATGACCCACATAAAGTCCATAGGAGAACACTCAAGTTACCCTTTGCACAAACAGACTCTGAGAGAGAAGTTTCTTCCCAACTTCCTTGCCCCTCCTGTGCTGCACAGACATCTTCAACCATCCTCTTATCATTAGATTTCTCAGGCACCATGCAGACACCAGTACACAGTATCACCCCAAACTGCAAGGGGCCCATACCATGCCTTTTTGAGTGGTCCTATTAAAGCCTTTGTTTTTGAGAGCCCGCTGTACCCTGCCCTGTTGGGAAGGTTGGGAGTCACAGCATGCCAGCAACTCTCTCCAAATAAATCTCCACAGACCCTTTTATACCTCCATGTGGGGAGGGATTTTAAGTATGTCTAAATTTGTAAATCTGGTTTAGCACTTCATTTTGGATTTTGGTGTCTATTTTCCTACACCAGAAACTTCCAGCCTAACATCCTTTAGCATAAACAACAAAAACAATAATGTAAAGAAAACTCTGTATTTTGTAGCCTTCTGGGGAGATTTCTTCCTGGGCCAATAGATACCCTCTACCCTCAGCCAGAACAGCTTATTTATCTTTAGGCTTAATGATAGGAGTGGTCTTTAGTTTCTTTTTTATTTGTTTATTTTTCAAACAACGTATCATACAATTCTAGAACTCTTTCCCGTCTGGCTACAACTGAAGGAAAGAGAACTCACTTAGGTGTTTTTTCATTGAAAACAATAAACTACTGCTAGTCTGCTTTTTACCGACCATTAAAAGGTAAATTTCTACCTGTTTTTTTGTAGATAGACCACTACATTCCTCACATTGGCTATTTGCATATTTTCCTAGACCCACTATCAACGTGTGATTTTATTTTTAAAAATGTTGTGCTTTTAAAGGCTAGAACTGATCTCTAATAATTGGCAGTGGTAGTTATAAGACTATGAAAGTTTGTTTTTATAAAAGAGTTTGTACTTTTTACTTATGGACAATTTTGAACCTTTGCAATTTTATCATAATATTTTAAACACTTATCCTAACCATTTTTTCTTTTTCTTTTTTTTTTTTCTTTTTTCTTTTTTTTTTTTTTGAGACAGAGTCTTACTCTGTTGCCTGGGCTAGAATGCTGTGGCATCAGCCAAGCTCACAGCAACCTCAAACTCCTGGGCTCAAGCAATCAATACTTCTGCCTTAGCCTCCCAAGTAGTTGGGACTACGGGCATGTGTGTGCCACCATGCCTGGCTAATTTTTTTCTACATATTTTTAGCTGGCCAATTAATTTCTTTCTATTTTTAATAGAGATGGGGTCTCGCTCTTGCTCAGGCTGGTTTTGAACTCCTGACCTTGAGCGATCCTTCCGCCTCAGCATCCCAGAGTGCTAGGATTAAAGGCATGAGCCACCGCACCTGGCCTATCCTAACCATTTTTATGCAAATAATACACTTATTATCCTGGCTTATGTTATATAGTTATTTTGGTGTGAAAGTTTTGATTGTAGATATTTTGCGTCATATTTTCTTTATGCAATGTTTGTACACATCAACAGAGATAAGGGATAGATGAGACTGTAGAATGGGATGAGGATATTTGTTTCATTTATTGTTTGGCAGTAAAAACATACAGAACGATTAAGGACATTTTTCTGACTATGTCAAAATATAGCTGCATTTTTTTTTGTTGTTGTTTACTTGCAGTAAAGTCAAACCCTGGTGTCAAAACTGCTACATTATAAATGTCACTTCAGAAGGGTTTTCGACATGTAGGATAACTAATGCTGTGATCACGGATGAGTGCCGAGAGTGTCACCTTTCCCTACACCTGTCCTTGGGATGACGAATGGAGGGAGCAGAGCTGTAAAAAGCAAGGGCCTTTGACTATTAAGGGATGGCTAGTACAAAAAGGATCTGAGGAGCCCAGGATCTGCTCATTAAACAGGAAGCGTGACCAAGAGAGAGATTGCATTAGGATCAATGTGGCCAGGGTGCACGGGGAAGGTGGTGAGGAATTTCTGGAGCAGAGCACGGATTGCTGGTTGAGGCAAGAAGCTGAGGGAGATAAACTTTCACACTTGGCTGAGATCCTCAGTGGAGGAATGAGTTGGAGGGATGGGGAATAGAGTTCTGTGTTAGCCACACTGATGCCAATATGCCTTTGATCCAAGAGGTTTGGTGAGCAGGAAGTTGAGTATGTGAAAATTAAAGCTCATTAAAAAACTCAGGCCCAGGGATAGAAATTGGGGAGTTCTCAGCAAACGGATGGTGTGTGAAACTACAAAGCTGGAAGAGATCCCTCAGGGAGAGTTTAGATAAAGAGGGCCAATGCTGTACCTGTACTTATTCATCAGTCAGCAGGAGCACAGGTTGAAGGGAGCAATCGGTTAAGAAGACCCATGGAAATTGAGACGAACAGAGGAGAGCTGGAAATCAGGAGGAAGTGGTATCATGGAAGCCAAGAATGAAATGTATTTCAGAAAAGAAAGAGTAAGGGACTGTATCAAATGCTGTTGAGAAGCTGAGATGGCATGGATTGATTTCTATGTTTTTTCTAGGGGTGCACAGTATAAAATATATAAGCTATAGGTGCTATTAATTTTCATGTAGAAAGAGACAAAACAAACTGGCAGGAAATTTAATACTAAATCTTTTGTTTCTTAATGAGAAACCAGTAATATCAGATTCCCTAGTTGGTCCCAGTGGAGGCTGGGGGTATTGCTGGATTAAAAACTGTAAGAAATGTGAACAACTAAATGCCTTAAATGCTTTTTAATGAACTTTCTTTTGTATGAGATGGCATTAAATATGCTTGCAGAATTAATCATGAAGAGAATGAATAAACACTAGTAAGTTTGAAAACTTGAGAAATTCCTGTCAGCTCACTAATTTGGAGCTGGGATTTCAGCTGACTGTTTTCTAAGGATAGGAAAAAAACTCAAGAGAAAAGCAGCCTTTCGAAAGGTGCAATGTGCCCAAGATACCTTATTAGTGAGCCATATGGCAGTTCCTCGCCACTTAAGCATTTCATTGCTTTGGTTCCTTCCTTTTCTGAATACACAGTGAATTGCCAACAAAGCACTGAGGCTCAAAAATGACACCTCGCGTTAACCTAACAAGGCATTATGGGTCTCACAAAAATGTGTTGGCTATTTTTAGCCTGCTGATAATTCCTGCCTACGCCATCTCTGAGGTCAAAATGCGAAGGCCCCCTCCATCATAATAGCATCTATGTAACCTGTAGCCAATAGATTAGACAGGCAAAATGCATTGTGCTTGCAGATTTAGGATATTCTTGAGATTGGCAAATAAATTAGGATCCATAGAGAAATTGGATTCTGTCTAGCTATGTGATAAAGATGCTTCCTTAGGCCACCTACAAGGAGACAATTAATTCCTTCTTTGCTTCCTTCGTAGAAATCATTGTATCCCTCTTTAACCCCAAGTCATAAAATTACTAAGGTTCTCAACTCCTGGAAGAATTTGCACCCACATAGGCGACAGTTGGCAGTGTCTGGAGACATTTTTGGAATCTATTGAGTAGAGGCCAAGGAGGCTGTTAAACAGCTTTTATTGCACAGGGAGGCCCCTCCCACAAAGAATTATCCATCCATCCCATTGTCAATAGTGCAGAACTTGAGAAACTCTGAGTTGTTCCAGTGGTTCTCAGGACATACCTGGGGGCCACAGGCAGGTGTAAGTCCTAGGTGAGGGAAGGGGAAGGATAAAGAAAGAGGAGCAGGAAGAGAAGTAGTGCGTGAACCTAGAAAGAGGCACCTGTAAATACCGTAGGGTAGAATACAGAGAGCCAGGAGCAGTTAGGGGTTTCTTATAGACATCCTGGGTTCTCCCTATTTTCCCAGGGTGAAACTCTGTGGAGCACTAGATATTATGTGTTATATCTTGATATTTTGTTGACTACCATAGGATTCAATAGCAGGTACAACAGTGGATTCATCTAGGGGATTACTTTCTCTAAGAATTAATTTATGTACAAATAACACTAGAGTGGTTGAAATATTTACAAATAGATGTGACATTTAAAAAAATCCTTTCATCCTTTAGAGTAGTACCAATGTCTTCACTTCCATAAGGAAAAACCTCTTGGTCAGATCTGAGTCTCCATCTATTTATTGATCCTCTGATCCCTTTTTCCTCCACACCTGCTCTTCTAGAGGGTGGGTCTGTGTCACAGTCCAGGAAAGGTCTGTCCAGGACTCAGCAAACAGCATTTTCCCACAAATGTTTCATTTATTCTCCTTTCTTTTATGCTGGCTGTCCTTAGTCACCTCCCTCCTTTCTCTGAAATCTCTCCCCCCTCCTTTGTTTGTTCTCTGGATTCTAGAAGAATCTTTTGGTGGATAGTGTGAAGCAAGGTTAAAAGAGTCTTCCTTGGGAATTAATTGATCTTATTTTAGAGAA